CTTGCTGGTAGCTTTAGCAGGTGCCTTGCAAGGACATGTTGACGACCTTCGACGCTATAAAAGTAGGCGGAGTTGCATAGGGAAGTAGCAGCATCCAACTGTCTGAAAAACGGTGGTATTTTGTTTCTTGCTCATTTCTATAACTAACGAAAGGGCCCATGTCAATTTGCAGCCAATAACTAAGCCACTGTCTAATTTTATGTCGAGGTAACCCATTTAAAGACTGGGCTGTTGTGACAGAAGTTTGCTCATGGTTGTTCAGGAAGTCGCGTGATTTTCCAGAATGCAGGTAGCATATTTAATTGACATTTGTTAAAACTTGAATGGTATTAGCATGACATCAGCTCAAGGATGGCACGCAGATTCGTGAATGGGTGCAGTTTTTGAGTGGGGACATTAGCAAAGACTTCGACTTCGAATTTCGGAGGTGCCAGGTTCTAATCTGGAGAAGGGACAATCTTTGTCTCAACTGCGAATTCCCTTGAGCATAGAATTTACTCTGCGTTGCTTAACTGCAGCCATCTGTGCAAAGAGTAACAAGTCGTTGACTTGTGAACAGTAGGGACAGCGTGGTCGTCTGGTATGGTCATGTTCTAGAGGGCGAGATGTGCTGTCTGATGTGAGCGCATGTTCTGGCCGTGACCCATTTGATAGCTGGCTCTCACGTGTGATAATCAGCACGAGGTGTGATTCCAAGCAAATATTCAGAACTTTATTTTAAGTATGGCGAAATCCTCCTCGAAAACTGACTTTTTTGTAAACAAGCTTTATAGTTATTCAAGTTGTTAAGTTATTCAAATAATTCAAGCTGTGATCGAATATTGTATAGTTTTAAGCGATTTTTATGGTATTGACTTTTAGAGATCACGCCGTATTACGCAGTGCGCTATCGTTGCCCTTATAAATCTGCTTGAAAGAGTTCAAGAAACGGAGTGATAATGAGATCACTAAGTATCGCAGAATGTTTTTGCTCGTTTTATGCAGAGTTTTCTCTGAGTTAGCTTTTTTCATATTTCTGAAATTCATTGCGTTTTTGTCTTAGTACAAGATGATGAAGACAAAATGACGATAACGGCTGGTGCACTGGTGACGGCGTTCGTAAAGTTGATCAGATCGTCGTTGCTTGACACTGGCGGGATGAAGACTGCGGCGAAACCAGTTGCAGCGGAAGATCAAACGGTGGTTGACAGCGAGGTAAATAACGATTGATTTGCTTATTATCGCTGTAAATTGTTTTTTCCATATACCTTACGATGATTCGCTGACGTGGTTACGATTACCCTTCTCTGATTCTTTCCTCTCTCACTCATAACCTCCCATCCATGAAAACTGCGTGGCTTGTGTAACGCAAGTGGTTCTTTACCGTTTTCCGTCGTAGTTACGTTACTGAAGTTGCTTTCAGTCAACAGCCGCAAGCAAGAAAGCTGTGAAATTTACCTTCTGTTCTACGATACAATGGCCGAAATGTCAGCAGTAGTTTGTTTTTCGTTATGGTTGTATTGCTTTGAAACTACCGGTACATCTCTGGGCTGAAATCCAAGGAACACATGATCTGTGTTGATCCCCCAGATATTGAAGAGCACAAGGAGGAATAATAACTTTGTGCCACCCAGAGCTGTAGTATACTTTAAGTATGACGACCAGAGCGCAGAGTGCTCGTTTAACCCTGAAAGTTTTAGTCGCAGCCATAGCAGTCGTTACCTGCCAGAAACATTATTCCGCTGTTCCCGAGACTGACAGTGAATTTTAGAGAGCGGATAAATCTCAGAAGTGATAACATTGTATCACGCGGGTCTGTATTTAAGTAGTCGAAAGAAGCGCGGCGGCCTTTTTCTCTGTGGATTGGGTCTTTTCGTACCTGCTACTGTGACTGCTGGTTTTATTATTGCTACTGACTGTAATTCATTAGTGAACTGAAACTGATCAATCTCACTTCTGGAAATTGACCCAGTAATGCGCGGGAATTGCAATTTAAATACGGTTGTCGGGTTTACGAAGTTGATGTGATAGGTGAGGTTTTCGAAGGTACGTAGTACGCTACCGATGACACTTTGGTAATTTTTGA